AAGATGAAGGAAGTGAAGCATATCTGAGCATGAAAATATGTGGTGAGGCAGAAATTTTTATTAATAACTGGAGCCACCGGAGTTCTCTAAGTAAGCATAGGTCCTAGAGGCTGCATGCTTGGATGTGAGTCGGTGGGCAGGGCGATGACACAGAATAATCACGTGCGCTTGAGTTCCAGTGTTCGTCCACTTGATAGGCAAGAAAAATAAATCACAGTACAAAGCGCTAAACTCCTAAATGACTAATAAATTCCCTGAGCTGATTTAAACACCTTGCCATCCCCAGCAAGATAGAGTCCTTCTTGAATATAAATAAAGCAGGTTCCTTCATATGGGTGGCTCATTATTATTATTATTATTATTATTATTATTATTGATAAGAAGTGTATGTTGATGGATATGGACAACACTGAGATTAATGAAAAATATGGTTGCTGGGAAAAATTGTGATGGGTATTTGAGGGCATTGTTCATTGCATTCTGTGATTCATGCCAATTTATTATCAATTGAAAACTCAAATCAATTAATCTCAAAATTAATTAAGCAAAAGGCCAAATACTGACCAGTTAATCAGCATTACTGGTGGCCAGCAAGGCACGGATGATTCAGACACATGCCTGCACCCCACAGCGCAACAAGAGGAGATCCACTCTATTATCTTTGTGGGCAATAATCCTGTAGAGACATTTGGTGCAAGCAATTGGACTTTTGTGCTTCACACATTTTGGTTACGTTGTTACAAAAAACCAGCGATGAATTTTACACAGTTAAGTCAAGATGAAGTGGATCAAGCGTCGTCCCAGTGTAGAGCCTCCCGAGGCGAGGCCCACAGGCTGCCGATCTGATCCGCACTTCCTGATGTTGTAGGCCAGTGTGACGTCGGAGGCTGTGTGATCCTCACGCTTTGCGTCATCATAGTGAGCACCGTTGGCCTGAGTTGCTGGTGAGCAATGTGTTCTTTTTTTAGGAGAAGCAATACTGAGGCTTTACTTCTGGATCAAATTTATTGCTCTGGGTTAGTTTTAAGTTTGTTTTCTTTCTCTCTCTCTCTCTCTCTCTCTCTCTCTCTCTCTTTTTTTTTTTTTTTTTGGAGTTTTCTTTGTTAAGAAAAATATTTTAAATATTTTAAAAAAATTAAAGGGAGGATTAATTGGACATCAAATCTTGATCTATGTGTTGCATCATTGTAGAGTGAATGTACTGCAGCAGGGAGGCCGCCTCTGGGAGCCCTGCTGCCTAGGAGGCGAACGCCAGTGAAGTATGATCGACGTTCTCTCCTCGCTTTGGGTGATTTGCTGAAGGCTACTCCCTCTCATGGACAGGCATCAAGTACAATCGAAGAGCCTTAGTTGAAATTCATTGCCAAATACAGCCTTGAGGAAAAGCATGCCAGATAGGAGTTGAGATGGTCTGTGGATGCAGAATGGGCTCTTCGGTCCTCGTGAACCATGCGCTCTGAAGGATTGCCAACAAGCTCATGTCTTAAGAAAAAAGGTAACAGGAATAGTCAGAAAGAGAGGACCAGTCCTGGACGGTGGTGACGCCGGTCCTGCAGGACTTGTGCACAGTGCATGTGTACCTCGTACTGTGAGGTCTTTCCCTTCCTTTCAAAGGAGCTCACAGACAAATTTCAGAAATATACAACGCATTTGCTTGACTTTCCCCCATGTTTTGATTCCATTTTTATAACTGGATCAATCAAAAACTAAATCATCAATCATGTGAAATATATAAAATGGCTGAGACTAGTCCAGGGTTAAAAAAAAAATGTGCTGAGGCAAGAAAATACCTTAGGTCGGGGCTGGTGAGATGGCTCAGGGGTCTAAAGCATCTACTTAGAACAAGCTTAGCAAAGCACAGGGATCGCGGTTCAATCCCCCAGCCCCACATGCCAGCCAGCCCCGCCCCCTGGTGGGCTGAGCTGGCCACACACGCACGCGCACACACACACATAAATAAATAAAATTAAAAAAAAAAAAAAAAAGAAAATACCTTAGGGGCCGGGGAGATGGCTCAGTGGAATAAATGCTTTCCTGGCAAGCACAGGGTCTGAGTTCAATCCCTGGTCGCACAAAAAAAACCAAAACAAAAAAAAAAAAAAAAAAAAAAAAAACCTTATTATGTACACAAGAAACAGTGAAGTTCAAGGAGAAATACATGGCATGTGGGGCTCATCTCTTTGGCTAATACAGTCACTGTACAAATCAAGCATTTAAATGTACTAAAGGCCTTAGTTAGAGGAAATACTGAAATTATTCATTTTAATAACGAAGTCAGGGGGCTGGGGAGATAGCTCAGTAGAATAAGGGCTTTCCTGGCAAGTGCAAGGGCCTGAGTTCAATCCCTGGTTCTGCCAAAAATAAAATAAACTGAAGTCAGTGCACTGACCAAAGGTGCACAGGTGGCTTAGTAGGGGCAGGCAAAAAGCAGGGTCGCGCAGCAAGAAGACCTCAGTCTCATTCTCCTCTTCTCTGCCCTCCACCGTACAGTGCCACATCATGAAGACTGGAAGGGCAGAGGCGCCTCCGTGCTCAGCTGCTCTGCACTGCCCAGAAAGCGCCAGGCAGCAGAGTGAGTGCCGCTGTTTCTATGCTTTCCGTAAGAGCATTGATAGTGTTGTTAGAAAGTATGTAGTAAGGTCAGAGATCATAACGATCGCAGTGATCAGTAGGATATTAGCATGAAGTCGTCTGTGTATGTCACATTGGAGATGGAACCTTTATGCACAAGTATATCCTCGTGCTGTATTGTTATTAGTACTACTGTTACGGCTATTATTATTATTATTATTATTATTGTATCTGTCTACTAACTTACCCAGGATGGGCCCATCATGTAACCCACCTGCCTCAGGCTCCTTGAAGGCCGGAATGACATGGTTCATTACCATGTCTGGTTAGGAATGATGTAATGCATGTATGAAACAGAAGAATTAATGAAACAGATTCATATGTTTTTGAATGGTTTTATGCAAAAATTAAAATTATCAAGGTGCATGTGCAATCCCAGTACTGAGGAAGCTGAAGCAGGAGGATTATGTGGGGTCAAGGCTAGTCCAGTGAGACCCTGTTTCAACAAAATCAAAAGAAAGTAAGAAAGAAAAATCCTCTTTGAGCTTTGGAATTAGGGATTATAGTTAATTAGAGAAGTAGTGGTGTAATAGAGAAAGCAGATATCCCTGAAAGCAGGGGACTAATCCGAGACCAGGCTGGCTTGCCTGCTGTAGCAGTCGTGGGATGCGTGTGTGTCAGCAGCCCTCAAGTCTTCTGTGAATGAGTTCCACTCTATACTGTGAACTGATCCTGTCAGCCAGGAGTTGGTGATATAGAAATTCTTTTTTATCGCTGTGTTCATTTTTATTCTCATTACAATTGCTCTGATGGTAAAACACATATTTACATATATAAAGAATTTGCAAGATAACATTATGGTTGCCGAATTAATATTGACAACCCAGTGGAGATAAATGTTCCTTAATTGTAAAATATTTGGCTAAAGGTGATGTGGACAGTGTAATTAATAAATAATATTCAATATCAATGTGAAGGAACATTATAAGTAATTTGTTTTATTACCTAAAAAAATGACATAGGCTCTAGACCGTGAATTCCTCAATGACCAACAAAAGGAAGGATGTTAAGAAAAAACCATGGAGGGGGAGCTACCCGCTCAGGCCCCTCTCCTGTCCTTCTCTTGGACAGGAGTTTTCTTTCTCCCAATAAATATATTCTGGGGCTGGGGAGGTGGCTCAGTAGAATAAGCGCTTCCCTGGCAAGTGCAAGGGCCTGAGTTCAATCCCTGGTTCTGCAAAAAAAAAAAAAAAAAAACAAAAAAACAAAAAAACAAAAAAACGGAAAGACAAAACCGTGGAGCAATTTCTGGTCTTAAATGAGCTAATATAATTTGTGAATCTCAGACTGGGGCTTCAGGGCTCATGTACCTGATCTTCTATGACCCAGAGCTCTTGGTAACATATTCCCATCAGGAACTTGAAATCCCGTGTGAGCCATGGTCAATGTCATGCTTTTTGAGTGTTCTCTAAGACGTGTTAAATGTGAAAAAAAAAAGTGAGAACCCCAGTGGGAAATATCGGATTGATGTTAAGTATGATATTAACACCCACCTGTGGAAAGACCTCTTGAGATGGACTTTAGTAATACTGAAAGAAATTATTCATATTTTTAGGTTCAGGGTTATTTCATTTTTGCATCCACCCTTAAACACAGTATTAGAGAAAGACAGACCATGAGGATGGCTGGGCCTGGAGGGTGCCATTCAGTTGCCCTAAAGAGTGCCGTGTGTCCAGGGCTAAGGCCCCACACACCTGGGATCCTGGCCACTTTCATTGTTTTGAAGGGGGTATGATTAACCATGTCAGGAGGTAAAACTATCTTGTATGGCACATTTATCGGAGAAATTGAAACAATATTGTTATAAAAAATTAAGCTAAGGCAGATATTTATTTCCTTTCCTTGTGCAAAGGAAAATAAATAAGGAGGAGGAACATTTATTGTCAAAGTCAGTAGGAAGTCCTAAGGAAGATGTGGATTTGTACAAATGAGAGAAGATATGAAGATGATCAAGGAGTTTGATCTTGTAATAGAGAGAGCGTAGTGAGAGCTAGACAACAGCGTGGTTGAACATTTGCAAGGTTCAGGTTTTAGGCTAATGTGAAAATATATCAAAATGAATGCCTGAAAGACTTTGTATTTTTCAGAACGGCTGTGCTCTAAGGATGATGAAGCATTCAGGGAGGCCGTTCTTTCAGCAAAGGAGCACCACCAGGGTAAGTTGGAGCTGAGATACCTCCTCCTTGCCCTGCTTATTCGATTGAATCAACAGCACTGCTGAAATGTTAAGCTAGTGCAGACTGAACTAAGGATGAGTGGCTCAAGGCTGCATCCGCAGCTTCAGGCATTGCGGCCTCTAAGTTGTCGTTGGTGCCTTAAGGGCAAAGCCACCACACGACCCAGAAAGGGAAGGTCAGAGGCACCCGGGCTGGATTCATGATGACCACCTGTGGGGTATGAGTCAGATGCAATGAATACCTGTGCTAAAACTGAGGTCCAGCCCAGGAGAGCCAGTCTTGCTTGACCTTCCTGTGTTTCATTTGATTCTTATAAGTCAACTCATAAACCACTGACTCCATAAACAGAGAAATCAATTATTATGAAATGGGCAAAAGAGCGTGCATTTCTAGAAGGATGGATGGAGGTAATGGTTTCTACTCACATTCAGTAAAAACTAAAACCTGAAGCGCATGAGTGGCAGCCTTGTGACTCAGAATTGTGCAGTCTGTATAAAGGTGGACAGGGACATGGGTGCAAGGTCATGAGGGAAACGTCAGTGATGACAGCCTTGGTTTTTGTCTCCTCTGCTCTGTGCCCCTTAGGATGGCTGCTCGCCGGAGGCCCTGTCCCACCTGCGCACCACCTGATTGCTGCTTGGGCTTACACCTTTGACCATCATGAGAAAATGCCAGTCTTGTTGTCTGTGTTGTAACTGCTGTTTTGAAAAGTATTTGCTACATTGCTAAACACCGTGAAAGTTGTAGCAGATGCCAACTGAAAGTTAATAGAAGAAGCATCATTAAGATCAACCTACAGGTGGATGCTGCATGCAGGAACCATTCTTGCATTGTGTGATTCACATGCTGTCATCTATTAATTATTTAATCAATGCACAAATTTAGATGGCCTTAGGAGAAGAGGTCCAGGCCGGGCCATCTGGTCAGGCATGGGTGGCGCTCCATGGGTGCTCTTCTTCTGCAACTGCGAGCGTCTACCCGGTCAAATGCCTGTCTACTTCCCCCTTTCATAGGCATGCCAGGAAAATACCAGGAATATAAAATGATTTTGTAGTTATACCTTTTGGTGAATTAAAAAATTAAGGAACATATGGAAAGGGATGTAGAGTTGGAAACATTCCTTACTACAAAAGAAAGTCCTAAAGGAAATTTTTTTTTGTATTTTAGGGAAGGGTCTACAGGCTGTTCAGGGTCTCATTGCATAGATTGGACATGTAGTGATCCGCCTGTTTACAGCCTCCCAAGAGCTGGGATTACAGGTGCGCGCCACCATGCCTAGTCTCAATTGCCCTCTCAGCATGTCCTGGGGGCGGGGCCGGCACAGGCATGGAGATTGAGCCCTGGGCCCCTGTGCCTGTTTGCAGGTGCTTTAATCTGCTGAGCTATTTGGCCAGGCATTAAAGGAAATAAGTGTTAATACAAAAGAATAGATAATTGAGGATTCATACTAAGAATGGGTGGAGAGGGAGCAGATATGTATAGTATTTGACCCTTTGAAAGCTTAAGTTTGTCATATTAGCAAAAGTAAATTTAACACGAATTTCTAAAAAAACTAAAATCCATGTTGGTCAAAGGCAGAAAGCATAAGACATTGGACACCAGGTTTCACAGTTTTTATAAAAGTTTTCATGATATAATCACTTTTAGTACATTTTGCAGCAACTTGCAAAAACATTTACCATTCCCAATGATATTATTATTATAATAGTAAAATAATCTTTTTCCAAATATTTAAAAATTACCAAAAGCTTTACTTAGACTTTGATATGATTTTACTTTAAATATTTGTCAAAAGTTTTTAATCTTTGTCTGAACTATGCTGAGTATAACTTTAATAATTAAAAAAATTGTATTAATTTTAATGAGAAATAAATAACAATGAAACAGTTTTAAAAACAGGATAGTAGGAAAGTTAAAATAATTAATACAGTGCATACTATTGTCTTCATAGTAGTTATTCAGAGTACAAGATGCAGACATGATATCTTGTCCAAACAATATTAGTGCAAATCTTCTCATTGAACTAAGAGAAAGTAGCTGGATATCTATCCTATTTTGTACATATATATATATATTTTTTTTTTCACTACAAAATGGTCCTTTATTTATGTCCTTTTTTGTTTAGTTTTGTCAGTGATGGGTGGTCCATTGCTGTTAGAGAGGCTATATTTGGAGAAGTATTTAAAAGACATTTTCATACTTGATGCCAGATCAAATATTGTAGCTACTTGAATTCAGCAAAATAACCCAATATAGTCCAATAGTCTATAATAGTAGCGGGTTATCAGCAGAACTGGGAGTTGTCAGAAGCTGTTGTTGATTTTCTTTTTTTTTTTTATCCCTCTCCCTGTGAGAAGTTTTTGAGTTGAGCCTTTTATAGCTCACCTTATTAATATGGCACTACTTTTTATATTTCATGCCTATACTTTTCTTTTTTTTATTTATTTTTTTTTC